ACCCTAGGCTGTAAAATTGTGTATTGTGCATTTTACAGCAAAATGTTAAAGTCTGTATGCTTGATATAGAGAGCTGTAATATAGATCGCACTTTCTCTTTCCGTTTACTCCGTTCATTTAAACGCCAAACTTCAAACTCATCTATGCTGCTTTGTTCATTCTTGAAGTAAACTTTTTCCGGTTTGGTGATTAAATAAATGGTTTTAGACCGCCGCTTGAGTTGAACGCAAAGCATCCACTGTCTGTGTGTGTGTGTGTGTGTGTGTGTGTGTGTGTGTGTGTGTGGTACCTAGGGCTGCGACGATAAATCGATGTAGAATTGATTCGTGGATCGATTCTGAGATCTTGTGAATGCATCGTGATTCTGAGCTTATTCAATTTTAACAGCAGATGGCGCTCTACTCTAGTTTTTATCCACACACTCAAACACTCATGAAGAAGAGCTGAAGAGCGCTTGTGTGTTCGGCTGAGTCTGTAATTTCACCTCGGCTCAGAATGCTTTTATGACGCCAGATTAATTTAAACACAGCCCACTGTGAACACCTTTGTGATTCGCTTCAACCTTTATGAATTTTATGAATGATTATTTTATAGTTTTATATATAGTTTGTATTTTAGAGTAGAGCCGTTTCTAAAGCATGCAGCACCATCTGCTGTTCAAAACTAAGCTCAGAATAATTTTTTTTCTGCGACTAAGCGACTAATAAAATTTTGGTCGACTAACAGTTAGTCGACTATTAGGGGGCAGCCCTAGATAGAAGCAAATAAAGTGTGAGAGTACACATACAATATCCATATTTAATATGTAATTTCAGTGCTACGGCTTTTGTGTATTTAAAGATGGCCATGACTGCTGAAATGAAATGGTAATACTTTACTACATTTGTAACATTAAGATTAATTGTTCCTTGTTAGAGTGTGTTTATTCAAAATTTACTGTTACTAATACATTTTGAAGTTTCTTCTGATAACATTAAACTATGAATTAACTTAAATGATCAATATAAAAATGAATATTCATATTTTTATTCATTTACAAATTATGGTTCAGTAGTGTTTTTTTTTTAAATAGTAAAGAACTATTTTAGTTTTCGTTCAGTATCCATTTGAAAAACTATTGGTTGATTAATTGGTATCGGCCAGTGTGGTCCAACCTAACTATCAGTATCAGTAAAATCCGCTATCGGTCGACCTCTAGTTAATATGTGCAGATTTTTGCAACGTGAATCTGGACAAACAGCAGCACCAGCAGTGGAAGCGCAGAGGAGAGCGGAGCGAACCGTACCGTTCTGAGCCTCGATGACGGCCGGCTCCACCTGGTCCAAATCCTGCTTCACGCTCAGCTGCTTGACTTTAATCACTTCCTGCTGCTTGTAAACCGCTTCCTGTATATCCTGACTCATGACCTGTTAAGCCAAACAACACCAGTCAGGTTATTTACGAGAGCAGCGGCACAAGAGCACTGAAGCGATGCGCTGAACGATGACTCTTGCCTTCTTCTTCTCGGCCTCCTGCTGGTCTTTCACCATCTTCTTCAGCTTGTCGTTGGCAGCAGCGTTCTTGACCTCCAGCTCCTGACTCTTGATCCGCAGGTCGCGCCGCAGCTCCTCCACCTGTGACGTCACACGGTTAATAACGCTAAACGAGCTCATGCGTCTGCACGCGTGATGTCGTGTGAAGCGCGCACCTGATCGACGGTCTCTTTGATTTTGCGCAGACCCACGTTCAGATGCATCTGCTGCTCCTCCAGCTCGCTGCGCTTCTCGTTGAACAGGTTGGCGTAGTGGTTGATGAAGTCCAGGTAGTGTCGCGGGGTGATGGCCATAGTGCGGCCGCCGCGCTTCGCCAGACGGTTGTTAGCCTAACACACACACACAGAGAAATAAAGCATCACAGCATGCTCTGAAAGCAGTATGCACCTCATCAGACTGCGAGCGAGACGCTCTTCTGACCTGGTGCAGCGTCTGATGCACGAACACACAGCCGTTGATGATAGCCTCGCGGTGTGTGGGCAGCTGCGGCAGCTTGTCGTACACGGTGGGCATGTAGTCCGGCACTTTGTAGTTGGGCTTCTCCAGGTCCATCTTGCTGGTGAACTCTTTACCCACCTGATAGAGCGCTTCAGTGGACCAATCCCCAAACCAGTTGAGCACACACCTGAGGAGAAACACCATCAGTCCAGCCAGAGCAAACACGTGACACCCATCCACCACACAATCACACATTAGCCCTTCTCCGGTTAGTGAGCGAGCACACAGGAGTCAGCATTAGCATTTACTGCATAATACATTCGCAAACAAAGCACCGCTTCCATCCCATGTTCAAAAGAGCAAAACCACTTCTCGGGAAACAGATGCAAGAAATCAACAATAAAATTAAACTTGCTGCACCCGGGAAACCTGTGGCTCTTTTTTCCTACGTAATAAATGACGTGCGCCAGACAAAACGCAAAAAAAAAAAAACGATGCTCACGATAGTTTCACACTTTTTTTAAATTTAAAGGCACATTATGAGTGACAGTCAACAGAACACAAACACGTGCTGAAACAAGTGCCCGCGATGAGGACACTGGGAATCTAAAATAGGAATATTAGTTGAATTTAAAATAAAAATTTGCATTCGAATGCAAAAACAGTGTATTTGAGTTTTAGGTGTGCGTCAGCGAGCTTATCAGCGGCGCGCGAGATACAGTGAGGATGTAAGTGTCGTTGTTGCATTTTAATGTTTTTGTTAGTCTATACCCAGTTGAAGATGCGCCGCTGCTGCGTTTTTCATTCAAAATATTAGAGAAATATAGAAGCTCAATGCAGAGAAGATATTGTTTATGTTAAAACCGAAACCAAGTCATTCACACAACGCATATTCGGCGCATTCTTGAGACGCACAACTACGACTGAACACTCGCGTCTCGCACAAGAGATGAATAGAAAGCCATGTAAAGTTAAGAGGTTCAACTTTTAGAAAACACGTCTGGAGAATTTGGGGTTTTATTCCATTCCACTGCATCTCGTATGTTTTTTAATGCAATCGTGTGATCGGTGCTTTAGCTATTTGTATTAAGCTATGCATAAATACATTATGCTGTTTTGTTCATAATTGTTTATGCAATTTGCAAAATCATATGATTTATAAATATAAGTTTAGACGGTATGCACTTTTTATAGACAGCCGTTATTTTCATTGCATTGAATAAACAGTTTAATGAGGTGCATTATTCTGCTCGTCGCCCTCCTGTGGCCTCAGGAGACACTGAACACCTATTCAACCTGCAGATAAAATCAAATTGAAACATCTCCTTTTTTTTATGTGTTTGTGTTTGACTGTTAAAACTAAAATAAGTTGTTGTTTGTGGTCATTTAAATATACAGTGGTTAAAAATGTAATCTTTTTTTTCTACGGTTTAAAAAAGGTTATAAAAAAAAAAAAAATTCAATTATTATCGATATCTAATGCTATGAAACATTGCATCATGATAATTGTTTTTAGCTATATCGCCCAGCCCTGTGTTACGTTATCTTTCGTTCGGACGCCTGATGTTTGGAACGCAGTCGTGTGACGCAGTTATGGGAGGTGATTGTTTTACCAAATCATTTTCATTATGTGTTTGTGTTTGACTGTTAAAACTAAAATAAGTTGTTGTTTGTGGTTATTTAAATATACAGTGGTTAAAAATGTAATCTTTTTTTTCTACGGTTTAAAAAAGGTTATAAAAAAAAAAAAATTCAATTATTATCGATATCTAATGCTATGAAACATTGCATCATGATAATTGTTTTTAGCTATATCGCCCAGCCCTGTGTTACGTTATCTTTCGTTCGGACGCCTGATGTTTGGAACGCAGTCGTGTGACGCAGTTATGGGAGGTGATTGTTTTACCAAATCATTTTCAAGACTTTGACTAAGACATTTCAAAATGATTAAAGCATCATGAGATGGTGTGTGATCAGATTCATCCAGTCACATGATCTGCTGAGGCAAAGTCACATACATTCTTTGACATGCACCGAGGAATTTATTCAGTAAATGGGTTTCCATTGTAGTTTATGCGCATGTCTTCTTATCAGATAAATCTGACTCAACTGAGCGCACAAAATGCAAATTTTTTGAACTTACGCACATCATGGCATTTCCTTCCAGTGTTTTTTTTAATGCAATATTCCAAAATTGGCATAAAAGTAGGTGGATGGAAACATACACACTGACAGTTCTTTATTTTAGCAGACATGCCCTGCATTCCTGTAGAGTTAGTAATAGCAAAGTCATGAGTTCTATTCCCAGGGACGGCATGAACTGATCAAACATGGATAAAAGCATGTGCCAAATACACAAACGCACCTGTTGAAGAGGGCAGGTGAGGTGGCCGCTCTGTCCTTCAGCCCCTCTGACGACGGGTTCATGGTGAACACCACGTGCAGGTTCCTGATCACCTGACTGGTGAACCATTTGTACAGCTCCTCATGGGTGTCCAGCATCAAGCCCTCCTTCTGCGCTCCTTCCTTGCACTGCGTCATCAGGGTGGCGTATTCGTCGCCCTCGAACAGGCCGGGCACCTGCAACAGCAGAGAGCGGTCAGAACACACGAGGAGACGGAGAGCGAGAGCGGGTCTCCGTTCACGGGTCGCACCTCTCCGTTGGCCAGCAGCGTGTTCATGCGCTCCAGGAAGCCTGAGTCCAGCACGTTCGACTCGTCCATGATGAAGGCGATCTTCTCGTTCTTGCAGCCGGAGCGGCGGAGCACTGTCCGCAGGTCTTCGTCAAAGTCCTCGCCGGTGTATTTCCTGTGGACCTGTGAGGATACGATGAGTTACAAAAGCCTCAAACAAACAAAACTTGACGGGCAATCAAATGTTTGCTTGCTCTAACCTTGATCTGATAGACAGTCAGTCCGTTCATCCAGGCCACGAAGCGGGAGAGCGTGGTCTTTCCAGCACCGCTGACGCCGATCAGGAGCAGGTGACCCTGCGGCTGACGGAAGATTCTGGAGGGAGAACATCAGCGTGACGTTACTGAAGCGTCAGCGGGGTGAAATAACAAACCGCTGTGTTTCTTCAGGCTCTCTGTACCTGTCGATCCTCAGCACGTGATCCAGAACCTCATTGAAGAGCACCAGAGGAACGTCCAGCTCCTCCTCGTAGAACACCTTCAGTCTGGCCTTCACATAGTCGCGCAGCTCCTCCTGCTCCACGGGAACGTAGTCCTACAGGAGAACAGCAGAAGCGGTCAGTCGTTTCCGAGTCTGCAGTGATGTCCAGAAGAGTTCAGCTCGGTCACTCACCTTGGAGAGCCAGTTGCTGTACAGGATGGGTCTGTTAAGGGCTTTGTCACGGTCGATGTTAGGAAAGTGTTTGAGGGCGACCATGTTTATGTTCTCATCGGTCCAGCGTCTCTCCTCATCCTCCACCAATCTGCCGAGAGAATCAGTTCAATCCGTGTGCAATGTCACAACAATGAACCGCATACTTATAGGTTTGCTGCAGCTGCACATTTTGGTACGCTCTGAAATGTAACACTGTCAGAAGAAAATACAACATCGTTCCAAAACAGGAAGCAAAATTGTAACAAAGTGATCTTCAGATTTGAAAAGAGCCTTAAACTCACCGGTCCTGGAAGAGTCGCAGTGCTTCGTGAGCCCAGATACGAATCAGACCCTCCACAGGCAGCGTCTCCAGCGGCCGCAGCGCCTCAAAGATGCCTCGGACCCAGCGGGTCATCTCTCTCGGAGAGTAGATATAGTGCGGCTGCGTGTCCTGAGTGAACCGCTCCTGCTCAAACACAAACCAGTCAATATAAACATTTCATCAGCTCAGGAGACGAACCCATGAGCGTTCAGCGGTTTAAATGCAAACCTGAGACATAGTGTAGAACTCGACCATGGCTGCCGTGAGCGGCTCAGCAAAGGTCCGCAGCGACGGGATGAGTCTGAGCATGGCTCTGTTGAAGGTGCCATAGATCTGCGTGAGCGAGGCGGGGCCGGGATAGTCCACATACACCACCGGCACGTGACGCAAAAACCTGTAAACGCTCACACGAGTTAGGCCAGGACATCACTGAACATATCTCAGTCTTTATTAGCAGTGATGACGACAGCCGAACCTGTACGAGAGCGGCTTCCTGCCGGGGTCTGTGGGAGGGTTACAGGCCCCGACGAACTGGATCCGCTCCAGCTTCACCCAGGTCTGGTCTGAGGTGCGGTAGAAGCCGCCGTGCTCCACCATCTGAACACAACACAGCACGGGTTACACCGCAGACAGACACACAGCAGGAGCCGGACTCAGCGAGATGCTCGCACACGCACCTGTCTGATGAAGGAGATGACCCGTTGCGTGCCGTACTTGTCCATGTCGGGCAGGTTGATCTCGTCGCAGAAGAGCACCAGCCACTTGCCCAGCTGCACCGGAGCCAGAACCACGCCGTTAGGAGTCCTGCGGTACTCGCAGTAATGATCGAAGGTCTTCAGCAGCAGCTCCGGAGTCGTAGCGCTGGAGAAGTTCAAACCCACCACCTGGAGAAAACACATTTCACAAGTGTCCAAGCAGTCGACCCAGCATCACATCACAGAACACAGCGGTGCCAGTGGATCTGCTTTAGGAACACTGCATTGGTTCATCTGTAGGGCCCTATGAGTTCCACGATGTCGAAACACCGAATCCAATCATAAAAACAGAAATTACTGTATAGTGTCACAGAATTTGCCAAATTTTGGATGGATACAGCAATAGTAGATCGGTACACTTTAATCAAAACACAATATGGACTAGTGTCTGTGAATATTAAGCCGCATTTAAATATGAATCCTGTGTGTTCTGCGGGTCTCGGAGGTTTCGTTTACTTCACTTTACTGCCGCCTCAATATATGAACACACGAACATGATCTCTAGAACTGCTCTGAGAGTCGCTTCATGAGCATTTCACCGTTTCTTTTGAGCAAAACTATCGTTATATCATAAACAAACAGAAACCTAAAGGTCTTCACAGCAACCCGTCAAAATAAAAGTTTGGTTTAACTTGAAGAAACCGTGACAGAAATATTACTTAATGTAATGATAGTACTGCTACTAATAATAAAATTAAAACATTATTTTGGAAGGAACATTTAGCAGAATAAATATTTACCAGAAAAATGTAAATGAATAGTATTTCTGAAATATATTTTTTTTATAAAATAAATTAATTAGAGATACTCTTTTGATAACTAATATTTAATGAAACTATTCAAATGGAATCCAGAAAATTTATGGAAAACAGAATTTAAAATAGACAATAAAACTGAATATTTCATATCACCCTGAAAACTAAATTTCTGTTAAACTTTTAATAAATTGCTGTTTAATATTTTAAGTTTCACGATTTCAAATAATTAGACATGCTTTTTGATGAATACAACTTAAATTTAACCATTAAAACAGTCTAGAAAATAGAAAAAAACGGAATCCAGATAAAATGTAAAATGGAATTTAGAAACAAAATAAAACAATGTGAATAAACTCAGACGGATTTCATAGGGCCCTACATCTGTAAGAAGAGATTCTGGATTTCTGAACGTAATCCGCTCCTCACCTCCATGTCCGGCAGGGCTCTCAGGGCACTGAACAGGGTCATGGTTTTCCCGGAGCCCGGCGGCCCACAGAGCACCAGAGGCTTGTGTTCGGCCAGCCAGGTGTAGAGCAGAGCCTCGTGACGCACCGTGTCCAGAGTGGGCACCACCACGTCCGGCGAGGCCACCTTGTGCGTCTCCACCTCGATCTGAGGCACCTTCACCTGCCAGGACTGCCACTCGCCCGTGATGGACACCTGACGGATTCAGAGCAGCGTTAGAGTCACACTCAAACATCACACTCCATCTGAGACTGCGTCTGCTCGCACCTCGTAGTCGATGATCGGCACGTTCGGCGCGGACGGGAGAGACACGGTGGTGATGCGGCGAATGTATTCTCCCAGCTCCGCTCGCATCTTCAGCCTGCTGTCACCCGAGAAGGACCACAGCACCGCGTAGATGAGGTATTTCTGCACGACAGCAGTGTTCGAATTAATGAATAAAATTGGAAAAAATTGCCCAACCCTACTGAACACATGTCTTTATTAGCGGTGATGACGACAGCCGAACCTGTATGAGAGCGGCTTCCTGCCGGGGTCTGTGGGAGGGTTACAGGCCCCGACGAACTGGATCCGCTCCAGCTTCACCCAGGTCTGGTCTGAGGTGCGGTAGAAGCCGCCGTGCTCCACCATCTGAACACAACACAGCACGGGTTACACCGCAGACAGACACACAGCAGGAGCCGGACTCAGCGAGATGCTCGCACACGCACCTGTCTGATGAAGGAGATGACCCGTTGCGTGCCGTACTTGTCCATGTCGGGCAGGTTGATCTCGTCGCAGAAGAGCACCAGCCACTTACCCAGCTGCACCGGAGCCAGAACCACGCCGTTAGGAGTCCTGCGGTACTCGCAGTAATGATCGAAGGTCTTCAGCAGCAGCTCCGGAGTCGTAGCGCTGGAGAAGTTCAAACCCACCACCTGGAGAAAACACATTTCACAAGTGTCCAAGCAGTCGACCCAGCATCACATCACAGAACACAGCGGTGCCAGTGGATCTGCTTTAGGAACACTGCATTGGTTCATCTGTAGGAAGAAATGTAATTTATTACGGTGTCCAGTGATCATCGACTGGCTCTCACCTCCATGTCCGGCAGGGCTCTCAGGGCACTGAACAGGGTCATGGTTTTCCCGGAGCCCGGCGGCCCACAGAGCACCAGAGGCTTGTGTTCGGCCAGCCAGGTGTAGAGCAGAGCCTCGTGACGCACCGTGTCCAGAGTGGGCACAACCACGTCCGGCGAGGCCACCTTGTGCGTCTCCACCTCGATCTGAGGCACCTTCACCTGCCAGGACTGCCACTCGCCCGTGATGGACACCTGACGGATTCAGAGCAGCGTTAGAGTCACACTCAAACATCACACTCCATCTGAGACTGCGTCTGCTCGCACCTCGTAGTCGATGATCGGCACGTTCGGCGCGGACGGGAGAGACACGGTGGTGATGCGGCGAATGTATTCTCCCAGCTCCGCTCGCATCTTCAGCCTGCTGTCACCCGAGAAGGACCACAGCACCGCGTAGATGAGGTATTTCTGCACGACATGCTCAAAGTTAGCATGTGTCATTTATTCTCACTCACGTAGCATGTAAACACACAGACCGGCTCATTCACGCGTCACACCTGCATGTATTTCTCCAGCTGGTCGATGGGCATGGGGAAATCATGGTGGTTGTTGTTGTAGAGGGCCACGTTGCGGCAGGCCTGATGCAGCATGGAGAAGAGCGAACTCAGCGAGCGCAGACGCGTGAAGTCCATGATGTGCTCCATCTTTGACGCGTGTTCCAGAGCTTTGATCACCAGACCAGTGGAGGTGAAATACGGCTGGAGAACTGCAGCAGCGTCTCTCTGGATCTGTGGATTAAACAGAAGAGGCTCTAAAAACTGACAAATACAAGTGAAGGACAAAAACAGAGTGATAATAGAGAAGGATGCAGACCAGGACACATCTAGATCCTTGTTTTTAATTTAACCTTTCAAAGCTACTGTATCATATTTGATGTGAATTTCTAAGACCTCGAAATGATCCGCTTGGTCAAACTCTGCTGTGACTCACTCTGCTGCACGTCTTCTGTCTCTGATTGAGAGTTTAGTGTTTTCTCAAGTCAAAGCTCTTTCAGTGTAATTCTGGATCTTGACTGATTTTGATCAAGTAAGCGTCAGAATAACTGCAGTAATATCTCCAGATGAACTCTTACTGCACTGAAGCAGCTCAGCTTTACTTGATTCTCCATCAATCATGTTTTAGAGTCTCAAATCTGATCCTCAGGATCTTTTGAGGAGCGTTTGTTTCCAGAAGCTTTACTTTCACTGTTCCTCAGCGGAGGAATGATCTTCACAAGCCTCCAGAACATCTCACATCTTCTGAGGAGCCTTTATTTCTTCAGCTCTCCATCACTGCATTATATGTTTGGAGCATTTCAGCCTCATCTTATATTACTGGAGATATAGAGCCACGACTGATATTTAGATAATTTTACGTAGTTTTGCACGCTAGAGTACCTGCAGCATAGGTGAAGCGGCCTCCTCGCCCTCGTCCTCCGTGGCCTTCCTCATGCGCTGGGCCTCATCCTCTCCCTCATCCAGCGGGATGCTCCGCAGACGCGCCAGGAAGTTGTTGAAGATCATGTCGGTGCTGAGAACGTCCTCGCTGAACCAGACCATCCCGCAGCGAGACACGGTGGCCAGCGTGGCGTACTTCAGGTCCTGCACCTCAAACATGATGCGCACCTGTGTGACGAGAGCAACATCAGCATCATCATCATCACGACTACAGACTCAACCGTCAGATCAGCTGCTCCGTACGTTGGGCGGCAGGCTGAGACGCTCTCCGTTGGGAAGAGTCAGGAGTTTGTTGTCGTCCAGCACAGAGTTCAGATTCTCCACCCACTCCGGATCCACGTCACCGTCGAAGATGATCCACTGCCGCTTCTGCAGCTCTCCGCGAACGTTATCGATGATCCTGAACAAGAGCGCACACACAGACATCAGAACAAACCCAAAATGACGATCAGAGCTATGATGAGACGAGGACTCACTTTCTGAGCACGTGTGTGAAGAGCCCGTCGGTCCACTCGCGAGTGTTGGGGTCCAGTGTGCCGTACAGGTGGTCTTTGCTGATGGCTTTGGGGTCGATGATGTGAGCGACACCCTCCAAACCCTCCAGCCTCTCCAGGGCTTTGAGCAGGACTCTCCAGGCCATGGTCTTCCCGCTGCCCGACGGACCGACCATCATCAGCCCGTGATTGATCTGCGTGATCTGATAGAGCTGCAGCACCTGAGGAGAAGAGCAGAGAACGGGTCAGGACTCGTGGCTCTCTGTGTGTGAGCGCTGTACTATGAAGCGCGTCTTACCTTCTCCACCCACATGCTGCCCACGTCGTCTCCGTCTCCGTACGTGAGGTACATCTCAGCGCAGACCTTCCTCAGCTCCTCTCGCAGCGCCGTCATCTCTCCGCGCATGTACTGGACGCCGGGGAACACGTCAGAGAGCAGGCTGAAGAGCAGCGGGATGTCCTCGGCCACCAGCTTCGGCACCATGGTCTCACACACGCTCTGGATCAGAATCTGAGGATCGAGCGCGGTCAGAGATCACGGATATAACAACAAGATCTACTCTAACTCGCATGACAGTCGACGCGACACCAAACCAAGTCTGTTTTCTGTCATTCATGTTCCCCGTTTTTACTGTGAAAGTTAATCTTCATAAGCTCTTATCAAAATAAGATTCCAAAAAATAAAAGCTAAAAAAAGTCACAAAACAAACTTCTCTGCTGAAGCGAGCCTGATTTTTTTGTTGTTGCCAAATTTAACTATCATCACCCAACTCTTTTTATTAAATAAAAAAATAATGTTGGAAATATGTCTCTTTAATCTGCATACATACAGTACATTCACATAAAGCTATTTATACTATATAACAAATCTCAACTGCTTGATTGTTTGTATCATTTCAAAATGTATATTATCATTCAGCTCTAATCTGCATTACTGTAAGGTACGAAGATATGAAGATCTTATAAACATCATGATTTTACGCAAGGAAGTTTTGAAACAGTGTTTCGTGAAAAGAACAAATTAATTTGACTTGAAGCCCTTTTATTTTTTCAATATCTCCTGTAATATAACCAATCAGCTCTCATGCTCGTCACACGTTCTGTTTGATTTGGAAACGGCAGTAAAGTGGCTTGAAGGCTTTCTGCTTCTGTTCGCTCATCTCACCTCCTGCTCCGGAAGGTTCTCTGCGATCTCGTTCTCATCCACGTCCTCGCCGCGCTCACGCTTCTCTCTCTTGATCTTCTGGATGCGTTCTCTCTTGACGTTCCCGGCGCTGATCAGCACGCTCTTGAGCGCTCGCAGACCGAAGTCATAGTGAGACTGAGACGACAGCTGCTCGTCACACAACCTGCAACCACAGACCAAAGCAGGGTTACGTTACCACTTCACACATGCACAACAACAGCTGAAGCAGACGGAGACGCACTTGAAGAACGGGACGATCTTCTTGGCAAGGATCTCAGCGGTGCGGAAGCCCTGCGAGTACAGCATGACCTGAGCGATCAGCTGCCGGTCCGGTTTGGTCATGGCCAGACTCCTGAAGAGCTTCTTGAGGTTATCGGGCAGGTTGGAGCGTCCGGCGTAACCGGGGTTCATGGTGATGAAGATGGCCATCTCTGCACTCACCTTCACCTGTTTGTTCAGCAGCTCTGTGGTGACGGGCACACCTGAACACACACGAGCACAGCTGTGATGATCACACGACTCTGTTTGGATGATCAGGGCTCGACAGTGCCAGCATTTCACTCGCATTTGCGACTAAAAATAGATGTGTGGGAACTGGAAAATCTATGTAGGAGCATGAGTGCGAATACAATTTATTAAACATGCTAACTTACACGGTAGCCTATTACAAATGTATTAATTTCTTCAGTTAATTTATGGAAAAACAGCGATACAGCCTCATATGATTATTGAACGTTAAAAAGGCGATGCACAGATGAGAAGCGGAGCGAGTGCAAACACATGACTGATTCGTTATTATTGTTCGGTAACACTTCACAGGCTCCATTAACATTAGTTAACATGAAATAACAATGACTGCATTTATTAATCTTAGTTCATGTTAATTTCAACTTCTAATAATACATTATAAAATCAAAAGTTGTGTCTGCTTATATTATTTAATGGAGCTAACACGAACTAGCAATAAATAGTTGTATTTTTATTAATCAACGTTAACAAATCAGGGCTCGAAATTAACTTTTTTACTTGGTAGCACTGGTGCTCCCAACTTCAAAAAGTTAGGAGCACTCACCAAAAATGTATGAGCATCACAACTACAAATTATATATTAACAGATTTTATCCTTACATTCTTAACTTTAATGCAGATTTTGTATTGGTTAATATTAGCTGTCAATCTCTCAGTAACTGCTTTACGCTAACTACCGCCAGAAAAAGAAAGGGCTGAAGAAGAGAGAAAATAAAAAGAACACTGACAGATTTCTTTTGTGAACCACCTAAAGTTAAGCTCTTCTTTAGAGAGGGTTAGGATGGCGTAGGCCAGGGGTGTCCAAACTCGGTCCTGGAGGGCCAGTGTCCTGCAGAGTTTAGCTCCAACCCCACTCAACACACCTGGCTGCCAGTTTCAGGTATGCCTAAGACCTTGATTAGCTGGTGCAGGTGTGTTTAATTGGGGTTGGAGCTAAACTCTGCAGAATAAAAAGAACACTGACAGATTTCTTTTGTGAACCACCTAAAGTTAAGCTCTTCTTTAGAGAGGGTTAGGATGGCGTAGGCCAGGGGTGTCCAAACTCGGTCCTGGAGGGCCAGTGTCCTGCAGAGTTTAGCTCCAACCCCAATTAAACACACCTGCACCAGCTAATCAAGGTCTTAGGCATACCTGAAACTGGCAGCCAGGTGTGTTGAGGCAAGTTGGAGCTAAACTCTGCAGGACACCGGCCCTCCAGGACCGAGTTTGGACAGCCCTGGTGTATGCGGTGTTAAATTTTACATTCAGCTCTGCCTGTTGCACCGAACGGCTGGCAGCTAGGGGTGTGCGATATTGACAAAAAATTACATCTCTATATTTTCTGGGATTTTATCAGTAACAATAATTTGACAGTGTTACTGTGCTGATAATTTAAGGACTACAGTGGACAGCTGACTCCTAAAAACGTTTTATATTCTTCATATTCTGTGTGGTGGTCAGTTCACAGCAGTGACAGAAATTATTATTTTCCAATAAGTTTAAATAGATTTTTACCTTTTATGGTAATTTTTTACCTTCAAGCCATTTTTTCTAAAAAATTTTCAAATTCTTATATTTAATCAGTCAATTATAATAAGACATTTGGGCTGTTACCAAGCAAATGAAAGTATCAATCAACAAAATGCATCTTTGCAGCGCAGAGGAAACACAGAAGCTGCTTCTGAAGCGGCATTTAGATGCATTTACACACTGATTAATGCAGGACATTAATATATTTAGCCTGCAGTTACACATGCATAAATAATATTTTAATATTGTAAACATAAAACCTTGAATACTGATATTTGAAATATTACCACACATCCTAAAACAACAATTACGATGTGTAGATTCGGTGGTGAACGCTGTTACCTGCAAACTCCGTCCCACAGGCTTTACAGTGAACGCAGTGCATAGAGCACACAGCAAAGTGCATTTTCATAGCGAAGCCACTCGAAGTCTTTCAACCACTCTCTGAAAACTGTACGCCTTCTATTCGGCTGGTGGATCAACATTCACCACATGATCGCTATCACCAGCACCATTATTTGTAACTTTAGGTGGTTCACAAAAGAAATCTTTTTCTGGCGGTAGTTAGCGGAAAGCAGTGACTGAGAGATTGACAGCTAATATTAACCAATACAAAATCTGCGTTAAAGTTAAGAATGTGAAGACTAAGTTTAATTGGTTATGTAGCCTAACGTTTCATAGAGCGGCAGACAGGTCACCGTATCAACACTCAGAAGGCACATACTCTGAATGTTTTTAGAGAAATGCAAACAGGTTGCACGACAACAATTATATGCACTCGCACAAATGCTCCCAAATATATTTTGAGGTCGCACAGATTAAATTTCAGGAGCATATGCGACCAAAATGGTCGCAATTTCGAGCCTTGCAAATAATATTAACTACTGCAAGAGTTAGCTATTTGCACATTGTTAGTTAAATGTTAGCCTGCTTTAACTAAAGTACAATAAGGTCCCATTAGTTAAAAGTGTTGCCTATTGTTCTTTTTTTTCATTTGAACTTTAATCTTTTGCACTCTAACCTTGAAACACTTGTTTACTTTATATTTTTGTGCATTTTTTTTAAAAATAAAGTATTTCTTTAGTAAAATATCTTTAATACATGTATTTAACTTACAACTTTTACAACTTTTTTTTACTTACTAAATTATATATTGTGACAAAACCATATACCGTGACGAAAGCGTCAACGACTATTGTGAAAATCTGATACGGTCACATACCTAATGTACATACCATTTAATAGGACTTTAAATAGTTACATAATTACCCTATTAAATAGAGTCTGAAGCAGAATTATTTAAAAACCTTGTGTACTTTAAATAAAGTAAATAATTAAAACACATTTTAAAACACATTATTTGAAAAATTTGCATTGCGCCCCTAAATTTTTTTTATGTGCTCCTAAGCACGTGTGCTCCTTGGGAATAAGGTAAGCATCGAGCCCTGATGATGAGGTTCTGAACCATAGCGTGCACGTACTGCGGTCTCGGTTGGGGTTGCTGTGTTCTCTCAGCGCCACCTGGATGTACTGGACCTGCTGAGACACGGCAGACAGCATGCGCTCCTCCAGACGGTTGAACTCGTCAAAGCAGCCCCAGGCTCCCACCTGACACAGACCCACAAAGATGCGGCCCATCGCCTGCAACACAAGACACCGTCAAACCCCTGTGACTGAAGACCTGTTATACACCGATTCCGTGACACCAGTCGCACCTGGAAGTCAAAGGTCTCGTCGCAGTTGAAGACCAGGACGAAGCGGCCCAACTGGTGACCCAGAGCTTTGACAGACTCGGTCTTCCCCGTTCCAGCAGGACCTACAGAACAAGAATGTCCGTCAGCAACCGCACACTTTACATTCAGCTCATGCGCACACATCTGTGTGCTCAACTCCAGCAGGAAAGGTGAGACTGACCGAAGGGCGATCCTCCCAGACGGGCCTCCAGCGCCTGCGTCATGGTCAGGTAGCAGCGGTCGGTCAGCGGCGTCTGCACCAGCTTCTCCTGCACACCCAGGTACTCGAAGCCGTAGTTGAACTTAGCGTTGGCCATCTGAATGGAGAGCTGCTGCAGGACGTCGGTCTGCTTGGGGTCGAAGTAGAAGCGCATCTGGCTGAGCCACTCGAAGGATTTAGGGTTGTCGATCTTGTTCTTGATCAGAGTTCTGGTCACGTCTCTCTGGTGCACCAACTCCGTGATCTACGAATGAAAAACACGCAAGTCACGAACACGTCTGCAGAGCTCGTCATACAGAGTAAATATCTGCATCTATGTGCGTGCATCAGAAGGATGCCTCTGGCTGTTGCATTTCACAGGTTTTACGAAGGTAAGACTTTAAGACCTTTTTAAGGAATAAGCTGACAGGAGCACCATACCTCACTATGTTTTCTAAACATAAATGTGAAGGTGGGCTCAGAGAAACCAATTAATTCAAAGGAAAAACATTTTTCTGACCCCATTAGCAGATATTTGTTTTTGTCTTAAGCAGAAACTTAATTTTGTTCAACTTCTCAGAAAACGAGACTTCATATCTTAATTTTGCATTTCAGGCAAATGTATCTTGTTTTAAGGATGTTTAGATATTTGTACTGGAAAACAAGGCAAAAATACTGAGGAAGATATTCATGTTTTGCAGTGAAGGCAACATGTAATGCCATGACTTTTGTTTTTAAGACTTTCTGCTCTGATTTAAGACCCACAGCCTGGCATTGCTGTTTTTCTGCCCTGAAAACAAATGTGATTGACAGAGACTATAAGCAAGACATGGCTGTATTTTGCACCATGAATGACATCTCCAGCTGCATTAATCTTCAGTTTCACTCATTATCAGCACAGGTGCTTCTGAGGTTCTCACCAGGTGCTCCAGCTTCTTCCTGCGCAGCGGCGGCTGCTCCATCAGAACCGTGTCGGCCAGCAGGTTGAGCGTCGCCTTCACGTTGGCCAGCACGGCCTGCAGCGGACCCATGTCTTCCCCGCCGCCGATGGTGGTCAGAGCGCTCTCCACATTCTCAGACCAGTCGATCTGAGTGGACAGAACCACCAGCTGGGCCTGGACGCAGCGGAGACGGAGGTTAAGCACTCATGAAGACATGTACAGACGCTGGGTTAGTCTCAGAGGACGGGTCACCTGGTATCGGTCGATCCAGTTGATGTAGGTGCTCAGGTCGATGCCCGTGCTCTTGTTGAAGGTGCCCACCTCCGTGACGGACTCAGCCAGCAGCTTAGCCAGCGTCACCCGCATCTCACGCTCCACCAGCGTCAGCCACTCGTTGATCTTCGGATGCTCCGTGATGGACACCGGCGTCTTATAGAGCACCTGAAAACAACAGCACATTCCAGAGGTTTCCCACATGAAGACATCACTCATATTACTGATTCAACTGCACTGACGCTATCAGACGAGATCAAAACCAGAACGGAATCGATCTGAATAACGACACTAATGTCTTCTGCAGAGCTGCTTTACAGCTGAAACGAAGTTTGCATCGACTGAAACAAGCACATAACGGAGGTCCCAGTCTCTCGGGTCGAGCCGTACCTCCTCTCCCTCTCGGGACGAGATGCCCAGCACCTCAGTGTTGTCCTCGTTCAGCAGGATGCTCGAAACTCCAGCGAACATTTTCTTGAAGTGTTTCTGCAGTTTGGCCACATTCTTACTGTTGCCGATGATCTCCAGCAGATCTTCATCACCAACAAAGTAGAACCTGCGGGAAACAGAAATGATGAGTGTTTAGACAACCGTGACAATACGAGTTCAGAATGGACACTGGACGGCTGATACTGTAAAGCCCAAATGTCTGACCTGGGGAAAGACGAGCGCTCTCTCTCCAGATATTCTCCCAGTGCTTTCTGGATCTTTCCCAGCAGGTCAGCGAGTCTCTCCAGCGACCTCTGAACCCCCTGAATGTTCAGGACGTCCATGACCAGAGGAGACTTGGTCACCTTCTTCATCAGGGCCAGAAACTCCGTGCTGATGCTGTGAAATCAAACGAGTCACATGTTAAAGCCTAAAGCCTGCGCTCTTCAGCACACTGATGTAACTGAGTCAGCCGCTGACCTCTGGAAGCGCTGCGTCTCCACAGGAAGCAGGTGTTTGATGTCTGCACTTCCTGTGAAAATGCCTTCCAGGTAAACCCAGCGGCGCTGCACGTCGATCCAGACGTCAAACAGAGCCATGATGCGGTTGAGTTTGTCCTCCCAGCTCAGAGCGTCCTCCTCGAACACCTGCCGAGAACAGAGACGTGTGACGGAGGAACTGCTGTGACGCATCGTTTCTCTCTAACATACGGTTTCTCTCGTTCGGTGTGTACCTTGTAGTAGGGCGAGAGCTTCATGGCAGACACGCTGTTGATGTGCTCCTTGACTTTGTTGAACAGATCGTCCCATCCACGAATCAGGCGGCACTTGTTCTGATAGTTGACAAGGTCGAGTTCGTACGAGTTCCAAACTTCACGAATCTGCAGTGAAGAGGAAACTGTGAACACACATCTTTAAAGAGCACCTATTATTACTCTTTTTACAATATGTAATGTGTGACCCTGGAGCACAAAACAAGTCATAAGGGTCTGGAAATTTCTACATCATCTGAAAGCTGTATAAATAATCTTTCCATTGATGTATGGTTTGTTAGGATAGGACAATATTAGGCTGATACACAACTATTTGAAAATTAAAAAAAACTAAATATTGAGAAAATCATCTTTAAAGTTGTTCAAATGAAGTTCTTAGCAATGCATATTACTAATCAAACATTAAGTTTTGATATATTTACGGTAGGACATTTACTAAATATCTTCATGGAACATGATCTTTACTTAATATCCTAATGATTTTTGGCATAAAAGAAAAATTGACAATTTTGACCCATACCATGTATTTTTGGCTATTGCTACAAACACACCCGTGTCCCCAGAATGTGTGTGTGAAGTTTACCCCACAGACCATTATATCATTTTGAAAATATTGAGTGGAAGCAGAAACAGGCTGTTTTTGTGCATGTCTCTTTAAATGCAAATGAGCTGCTGCTCCCCGCCCCCTTTTCCAGAATAGAGCTGTGCCGTTACAGCTCGTACCTGCTAAAGAACATCTGTGTGGTTTTTATTATCATGTCCATTGCATTAAAATCATGCGTTTAAGCCATATTAGTTTAAACTTCTGATATACGGGTTTTCTGAGCGCACACATCCGAAGCATCCGTCACACGGCATGCAAGTACTAAACTAAGCTCTCCTTCATGTCTTATTGCACTTAAACTGTCAAATACACACAAGTTACGAAACTAGTGTGTTATGTCTGTGAAGGTAAACAGCTGGGGTGTTTATATTAGATCTGTGACAGGTGTGTGACGGAGTCGGACCTGCTTGAGGAACTCCTCGAGAGCCATCTCTCCCTGCGCCACCAGCAGCACGTCCTTCACCACCATCTCGTTCTTCTGCAGGTCCACGTCCCAGATCTGACCCAGACTCAGCTCGGACAGAACCCAGTTCACATGCAGACGCTTCATCAGCTGCTTCCAGTGCCGGTCCTTCAGCGCCTCCGACTTCAGCTCGATCACCAGCATGTTCACCTGAAGAGGACACAGGGAACGGTTTAGGCGTTTCAGCGGCTCTATCCCAGCATCCTCCGCTGGTAACGCAGGACCGGCTCACCTTCATGTACCCCTTGAGCAGTCTCTGCACGTACTCGTAGGAGGCGTACTGCCGCAGACGAGCGGGGAAGTTCTTCAGCTGGTTGAGGAGAGCGTCCAGACTCTGGCGCAGCTGTACAGAAGAAGAACACAGACTCAGTGAAAGCCAGGCTCGGGTATGAGTCACACGAGACGGCAGGTGTGTCGCTCACCTTCCGCGGCTGCACAGAGACCCACGGCTGCTCCTTCATCTGATCGATCTGCTCCCAGACCTTCGACAGCTCCGACCAAACACCCTTCAGATCCTGCAGCTCCTCCAGAGCCACCTGACGAACAACACGGACACGACACGCGTTAACAAGAGCAGAATCTTCAACATACAGTTTGATCTCTAAATGATGTGTGAGAAAACTGAGAAAAGTTAATATTAAGCTGACTGAACCCAGCGTGTTTTCATGCACTGGACAGTTTTGAGCTGTTTTTCTTCCATATCACGACTAATGGAAAGAAAACATCCAAAATACACATTTAACGGTTTATTTTATCGCACTTTATCTATAGATTTCAATCTCAATCCATTAGGGATGCAACGATGCACCGTGAGCCGGTTGAACATCGATACAAATATGTGACGATTCAAATCGGTTGATATGTTAAACGAATCGAGATACATTTGTGGGTGGAGTTTATATGAATGCATCACTCAGGGTGACAGTCTTTAGAAAAGTTTTAATGATAGTTTATTTTCATCTCGTCTCTGTATAGTTCATACTAGTGTAGCGTTCATAAGCTGCTGCTTGGTTTACGGCGGCGGTAACCAAGGAAATGCTGTATCTGCTGCTGCATGAGCGCCTCCTGCTGTCAGAGAGTGCATCTGCGTCTCGCTCAGAGCTTCTGCCGTTTCGGTCTCGCTCCGATATGACTTATGTAGTATAGTTTCACAAAACTAAAGTCTGATCATTCGGTTTTTGTTTTAAAATGTCAAATTATATAATATAATTTAGATTAAAAACTGCTCATGCTGCATGTATTCAGCATCTTTGTTTGCATTGTGATTCAAATGCAGTGGTTGCCTCTAATTTTAAATGGAAAGAGCACAGACAAAGCCTTTGTTTACATGAAGAGATTTGTGTCTTATTTATTTGATTAGATTTGGGGCTTGTTTTAAAACTTAAATTTAGTTTTGTTATTTGACATTTCAATTTCACAAAGAAATGTGCAGTATTTTGTCCAAGCAATAATAAAAAGACACCTTTTCATCGCGAATCGCATCGCGAGTGAATCGTTACAGCTCTATTCTGAAGGTTTGTTCATATTTCATTCACACTGATTTCTAAAGCATTTTACTCCTAAAATCATGATGAAAATGTGTTCGTTTTCTGACTTATGGCGCAATAAAAATAGAAATCCAAATTCCCCTCTGGAAAAACCTTTAACTCGACTTCAACAAAATCAAACAAGAATTTTAAACCTGGCTTTATCCAACATTCAGATTTCTGCATATTAGTGTGCATTTAATTAGATTAAATGCCTCGTTTGCATATGTAAACGAAATTTCTGAAATCTTAAAGACTTAATGTACTGTGATTTACCAAATGGGGAAAGTACGGTGATATCTATCAGTAAGGGTTCATCGACAGCTCAAACATCTATAGATTCTGATGGACTCTGTGATTGTTAGCTGGGTTGTGTCTCTTTAAAACCTCTTTAGAACTCCGTTCATAACAGAGACGCTTGTAAAGTCGTGGCGCACCTGCACTCTCTCCTCGCTGCTGCTCAGCAGACCCGTGTCCGTCAGCTCCAGCGCCTCTTTGGCCTTCGCACACTTCTCTCTGTCGTCCTTCAGACGCCCGAACTTGCCCTCGTAGATGGTGAGCGACTGCAGCGCCTCCTCTGGACGCAGACTGCCCTGCAGCGACAACAAGCAGACAGACTCTGAAAGAGGCTGAAAAAGACCTGAAAACAGCATTCATCTCCAGACACGTACTGCCACGGGTTTGGTCTTCTCCCAGTCTGACAGCAGGTCCGTGGTGCGGTTCTCCACCGCGCGGTCCTCCTGCACGATCTTCATCTGGAGGTTAGCCACCTGCTGCTGGATGGCCGTGTCTTTGCGCTTCATGATGTCGCTGAAGGCGCCCCACTCGCCCTCGATGTTATCGATGTACAGCCAGGAGGGAGGGAACTGGAACCGCTGCTTCTCCAGCAGACGCTGGCCGTTGCGGAACAGCTGCATGAGACCAGAGACTTTAATAACGTTTGCTCCAGAGAATCGTGTTTAAGACTCTGTACGAGGCAGATTGTACTCACGTCCACTTGCTTCTCAAACTGTTTGATCTTGCGTTTAAGCGCCTGCACGTACGTGATGAAGGTCACAGCATCAGAGGTGCTCGCCGTATCCACCGAATGCTGCTCCAGCTCTTGACGAGACTGCAAGAGGATCACAGAACAGTTCAGAACATTCGCTTGAGCATCAAACATGACCTGTCCCTTCAGCGAGAGCTCGGCCCACCTTGGAGATCTGCGAGTGGAAGTCCTGCATGTTGTTGCCCAGCATCTGTCCAAACTTACTGAGCACCTCCTTATGCCACGAGTCGTACTTCAGATTCACCTTAGATTGGACCTAAACGACACGTTAAAAGAGACACTTCAGCGTGATCATTCGTGGAGATAAACCTCAAGACTGAACCGTGAGCGGCTCGCTCCTGACCTTGCCGTAGTCGATGACGGCCGGTCCGAACTCCTTCCTGGTTTCTGCGTTGTCAAACGTGCCTCGAGCTTTGCGGATCTGCACGAGCAGCGCCTGCCACTTGTTGAGATCTTCTCCCAGACGGTTGTAGATGTGGAATATTCCCAAAAAATCCCGGAAAGTTTCCAAACTTTCTGGAATATTTCCCAAATTTATTGGGAATTTTCCACCTTTTTGCAACCCTAAGTGTGAGAGAGTGTGCGCGTGCGATGGATTGCGTGTGATGGAGTGCGCGAGAGAGAGCGCGTTTCACTTCCATAGTATTTTTTGGCATTCTATGGAAGTCAATGGCTACCAGCAACTGTTTGGTTACTAGCAGGCTTAACAGAGTGAGTAAATGAAGACGGAATGAACTGAAAACTGAAGACGAATGCAGAGCAAACAAACAAACACACAGACCTGATATCTCTGACTCTGGATTCTGGGTAGAGACAGAATGACCATCTTCCAAGCAAACATCTCCTGGTAAAGCCTGTAGCGGCAGTCTTCGATCGGCGGGTTCAGATAGATCACCTGGTTCGTGATCCTCAATTCATGGATGACATTCTGTTTGGACGAAGAAAACGTTTGTGTGAAGTTATGAATCCTCAATGCACACAGGCTCAGAACTACAGGACGACGTCTTGCCTTAATCTTGGGATCTCCGCCGGGCTTGTGACTGACTTGAGGAGCCTCGGTGTCCATGTCCACATCAGCCTTGTCCTCCATCTGTCCCATGAGAACCTGCGTCCAGGTTTTGAGACCCGCCTGCAGACGCACCCCGAGGATGCGCTCGATCTACGGAGGAAACACGATCACATCTGATCAAACACCACTCTCTCCGGACAGACTCTGCGCTTCTGTCCAGCTGGACTCACCTCGATGTCCAGTTTATTGACCCAGATGGGCAGGTTGGAGTACGAGTGCAGGTTCAGGTCGTCCACAGCCTTCTGGATGCGGTTGAGGATCTCCGTGAACATCTTATTCTCGTACATGCAGGTTTCCAGCGAGCGCACCTCCAGATCAATCTTCTCCTCGAGCAGAAGAAGATCATCCACCTAAGAGCGGAACACACACAAACCAACATGACATTCACATCTCTTTTCATCCGGACTGTAAACACTACACAGCTACACTACCAACCGAATCATGGACACACACCACTGAATTTATTTAAAGCTTTAATCAGAAGCTCAGTTTTAACCAGGCATCCATAAAATGGTCCCGGCCACTGCAAAGTGAATTAAATAATGACAAAAACACCGTTAAACAGCACAAAATAAATAGGCCTAATTAAAAAATGTATATAGAATATGTGACCCTGGAGCACAAAATCAGTCATACGGGTCAATTTTTCAAAATTGAGATGTATAGATCATCTGAAAGCTGAATAAATATTTCCATTGATGTATGGTTTGTTAGGATAGAACAATATTTGGCTGAGATACAACTATTTGAAAATCTGGAATCTGAGGGTGCAAAAAAATCTAAATATTGAGAAAATCATCTTTAAAGTTGTTCAAATTAAGTTCTTAGCAATGCATATTACTAATCAAACATTAAGTTTTGATATATTTACGGTAGGAAGTTTACAAAATATCTTCATGGAACATGATCTTTACTTAACATCCTAATGATTTTTGGCATAAAAGAGAAATGTATAATTTTGACCCATACAATGTATTGTTGGCCATTGCTACAAATATCCCCCAGCGACTTAACACTGCTTTTGTGCTGCAGGGTCACATGTATTAGAGTGTACTACAATCGTAGATTAGGAAATCGCCAGCAAAGCTTAACCTCAAACTGACGCTTCTCTTTTTAATATCTATCAGTGGTGTGTGTGTGTCCAGTCATCTGACTGGTGCTCTAGTTTAACTGGTCTTGAGCTGGTCGACCTTTTCTTGGAAGTTGAAGACGGTTTCGGCCAGACGCTGGACGTACGGGTCGAGTTTGTAGGACTCCCAGACCAGAGAGATGCCCTCGGTGACGAGCGCCTGCACCTCCTTCTTCAGGCCGGCCACCAGCAGCGAGATGGACATCCTCTCCTCCACCTTCTCGCAGGTGCGCTCGTAGGTGCGGACGCTCTCGATGAGCGAGATGGCGAAGGGATACAGCTGATTGGCCTGATGGGCTTTGTTGACGATGGCCAGCGGCACGCGGAAGCTCAGCCACTTCAGGTTGCGCACCTCTTTGGAGAGCGTGATGATCTCGGGCAGGAAGTTGACCCTGAGCTTGAGCACGGTGCCGGTGCGTCCGCGGGCACGCGTGTTCTCGATGGTGAAGATGCGGCCCGACACGCCCAGGTTGCGCTGCTGCACCTTCCTTGCCCAGTCGTCGAAGATCTCCTGCGTGTTGAGCTTGGCGCGGAAGCTGTCGCCGTCCTGCTTGAGCTTCAGACCCTCCACGTGGTTTTCCCAGCCCTTCCCGAGGACGTCTTCCACGCGCTTCATGTAGGCCGTCAGCTGCCGGTCGATCTGCTTGGCCCAGATGATGGAGCCGGAGACGGGAGGCAGGTCTCGCACGTGGCTCATCTTGCACGACTGGCTCTGAGGATACTGCACCTTGAACTTGTCGTGCAGAGCCTCGATGTCGTCTTTGACGCGCTGGATGAGCTGCGTCTGGTACTCTCGGATGGCTCCGCGGATGTGCGGCCGCACGAACAGGGCGTTGAAGCGGGAGAAGATGCGGAACATCTCGTTGGCGTTCTTGGCGGTGCCCAGCTGGTCTCGCAGGCGTGCCGTGATGCGTGTCTCCACGCGGTCGATGCGCTCGTCGTAGCGCTTCATGGCCGCTTCCCAGGCCTCCACTCCCTCCTTCGAGACGTCCAGTCCGTCCACTTCCTTCACGTTTTCGTAGGCCAGATTGACTTCCTCAATGGCGTTGACGTCTGCGGCATCGAAGAGCACCTCAGCCACCTTCATATCGTCAGGCTCGGCCGTGTTTCCCGGAGCATGCTGGGGCACGGCGGACACCTGGAGAGAGGCAGTCTTTCATTAGTTTTAATGCATCCAGACTTTTACACATCTGATACAACTCGAGCTGATTTTTGTGCACGTACGATTAGAATCCCATTTAGTAAGTGTGGATGGCAAGACAAAAACACATGAAATAATTTTTACAAATATGTTTCAAGCTACATTCATATGTGGTTTTAGCTTCTGTGCCTCATAAGTCGCCAAGGCAACATGTTGTTACATTGTAAGAGCATCTATATTGTAGCTGTTTTTTTTTTGTCAGCACACCAATGCAACATCACTGCCACAGAAATCAATGAAGATATTGTAAACTGGATCTGAAGCGTTGTGATACAAAGCGTGGACTGTCAATCAGACTCCAATCGGATGCACAAATAATCAGATTTCAGAATCAGGGACTGACAGTGTGAATGTATCAAGGGACAAACCCTAATTTTAGGATTGTCTCCTGTTCACGTCTGTAGCTGTATGTTAATGCTTATATATTAATATGAACTAAAACGTTTCTGACAGACGATGTCATCTCAATCCTGTCTGTTTTGTCACAAACTCAATTTGAGGCTTGTCAGGGAACAATCTGATTAATGAAGGCTGGTCAAAAGAATCACAGATCAGAATAATCACATCCAGAAGCCGTCAAGAGTCATACCTGAGGTCTGAGCACGCGAACGATGACGGCTCTCAGCTGCTCGTGTTGCCGTCTGAAGCGCCGCATGTGGTCCAAGCGGGCCTGGAGCTTGCGGTGGGCCGGACTGAGACGCCACACCATCTTCAGATTCTCCTCCCTCTTCCTCTTCACAATGTCCCTCAGGAGCACCTGCAGCTTCTCGTACTCATCCTCCCACGTCTGGAAGACCTCGAAACACGCCACCATCACCTGCGGAGGAAGAAGAGCGTGAGGCGTGAGCTGCAGAGCATCGCTGCGGGGAGAGCGAGTGCCGTCTCATCAGCCGTACCTTCTCAAACTCCTCGTACGCCACGTGCATGAGCTTGCGAGTGCCCAGCACTTTGAGCAGCTGAGAGCTCAGGTCTCTGGAGATGGCCTCCACCAGACGCAGCGCACGCTGGATGGGGTACTTGGTGTTCCGGATCTTGCGCAGGTGATTGAAGATGGCCATCAGCGCCTGACGGATCTTGTCGAGCTCAGTGGCCGACAGGAGATCGTTGAGAGGAAAGTCCTTCATCAGAGGGTTGTAGTCGTTCACCGTCTCCACAGCCTGCTTCAGGCCTGAGAGAAACACACCAGAGCGTTCACAAGCGTGCAGCATCATGGAGATGGCTCTCGGACAGACGGCTCACCTGTGTCGGTGTCGAAGCTGACCGTGGCGTGGAAGCGTTTGCCGTGTTTGAGGATGTCGAGCGTCAGCAGCACCTCCGGACTCTCCCTCTTCTCCTGGATGCGGTTCAGGGCTCGCTCCAGGTTCAGCCAGAAGCTGATCTCCTGCAGAGCCGTTCCAGACGCAGGGTCTCGGTCCAGTTTAGTCACCTGAAAGAAACGGCAGACAGACCTGAAATCCTGATCGACTGTAGGCTAGGCCTGCACACATCATCGGTGCTAAGAATGGAACAATTCAGTGAACCTTTAGACCAGTGGTTCCCAAACCTGTCCTAGAGGACCCCCTGCCCTGTACATTTTGTATGTCTCCCTAATCAGACACACCCAATTTATTTCTTGCAGTCTCTACTAACAAGATGATGAGTTGAATCAGGTGTGTTAGATGACGGAGACATACAAAATGTGCAGGGCAGGGGGTCCTCCAGGACAGGTTTGAAAACATACAGGTTACAATCCTTACAAAGTGCTGGGGTGGATGATATAATTTTTAATTGATCTTCATTTCGATTAACCTTTTTTCACTAAACATTTTTGTAGCGCATCTGCCATCCAGCAATCACAACAAGCTTTGTGCTATGTTACTTTGTGCTTTTACAGCCAATTTGAAACTTGAATGTGTGAGGCTCCCGGTGTCGCTTCCGGTGCCATTTGCTTCCAGTTATTTTTAGCTCTACAGAAACAGTAATGTTTAATTAAAATGGTTTATATGTTAGCTGATCTCTTGCAGAGCCGTTCCAGACGCAGGGTCTCGGTCCAGTTTAGTCACCTGAAAGAAACGGCAGACAGACCTGAAATCCTGATCGACTGTAGGCTAGGCCTGCACACATCATCGGTGCTAAGAATGGAACAATTCAGTGAACCTTTAGACCAGTGGTTCCCAAACCTGTCCTAGAGGACCCCCTGCCCTGTACATTTTGTATGTCTCCCTAATCAGACACACCCAATTTATTTCTTGCAGTCTCTACTAATGAGCTAATGAGTGGAATCAGGTGTGTTAGATAAGGGAGACATACAAAAGGAAAAAAAAAAAAAACCCGGTTTCCTGATGTGTTTTATATTTGCTGCATCAGGCTTTTATGGCTCATACAGTGTGATACAGTGAGAATATAGATGAAAAAAAACAGCACACTTTATTCAGAGACTCAAACGGAGCAAAAACAAGCAATTTGGTGCAGATGCTGATATTTACATGGCCAAAAAGTAAGATGAAGTTCAGATCCTAACGTAAATTTATAACTGCATTTATTTTAGCGAACTACTTCGGTAAAATTGCATAAATATCACTTTGTCTCCCAGTTTTGCAATGTAATGTTTCCCACGTATCGGCATGCAATTTCTCATGTGCAAGTTGTTCATTAAGCCTGTGTTTAGATTTCCATCTGATCGTCATTAATGCGGAGCAAAAGATGACGTCAGTAAAAGATCTGCTGTTTTCTTCACCCAGAAAGAATGAGGCTTCAAATTAAACTGATTTGATGCACCAATTAAGCTTGTGATTCGTGTGGGGAAACTATCAGGACACCATTTCAAGGTTTTTGTACGTCTGCACCAATACCATTAAACATCACAATACTGCAGTTCTGATTTACATAACATTTCATTGATTTTCTACAACTTTTATTTATATAAACCAGCAGGTTGAGTAAATAAGATGGAGCCTAGGCTCTCCTAACTGGACGAATGTGAAGCGTGATCACGACACATCATACTGTGAGGCATCTGCCCTGTTTTTAATTGCAGTAGTTAGTACGGTGATGTCCTCTGAAGGTCAGCGAGTCTCAAACCTTCTGTATCTCCCGGATCCAGCGGTTGACTCCAGACTGCAGCTGGTTCAGGAAGCTGGGATCCTCCACTTTATCCCCGAAGTCTGTGACCTTGGGCTTCTCTGCGCGCTCGTAGCACTGCTTGGCCACGTTGGTGATGATGGGGTGGATGAGCAGGCTGATCTCGGGGATCTCGATGTTCTGCTGCAGGTGCAGTAAGCCCATCTCCAGCTCCGCGATCTTCTTCTCCACCGAAGGGGCCATCTTATCTCCATCCCTGCGCAGACACACAGACACGATGAGGCACGGCTTATGTGTGTGTGTGTGTGTGTGTGTGTGTGTGTGTGAGAGACACACGTTACTCTCTCGTTACCTGTCGGCTTTGCCAGACTCTCGGATGTAGGATTTGAAGTACGGAGACACAGCATTGCTGATGAAGGAGTGCAGCGTCTCGTACGGAGAGTCTTCGCTCAGAGTCAGAACTCGCACCTGAGTGGAGATGGGTTTGTCCGCATCAATCACTCCGGTCCGCTTGATCAGGGCCAGGCTGAAAGATCAAGATCAGGTGTTTCTGATCAGAACACGACAAGACCACATCGGAGTCACCAGCTCACGCTCTGCGCTCGTTACCTGTTTGATTTGAGCCCGTAATGGATGTCGATGCTGATGCTGTAGGAAATGCACTCGCGCTCCTCCTCGCCTTCATCACCTACATCCTCTGCAGAACAACGACAAACAACCAGCCGTTTGTGATAAATCAGCTCGTCTTTATTTGAACATTCAGCACATCGTCTGACGTGAACACAGCAGACACACACACACACAC